TATAGTGGACTGTATTGGTTTGGTACATACAATAAGCAGAACTAGGAATGTGGGTCACCAGCATGTAGTAACTTAGCGACGGCAGCCAGGGTTGCGGCTAATACCGGTGGGCTCACCACGTAGAAGAAGAAGAAGAAGCACAATAGATACATATAACACTTAAAAATAATAATGTAACTACACATTATGTAACATAATATTAGAAAACTTAAAATAAATGTAAATTGAAAATCAATTTGAAACATTTAATAAAAGCTACCTTAATAGAAAGGGCTTATTATATTGCCGAATAATACATTTAGCATAAGAATGTGTGGAAGTGATTCTTGTTCTGCACTTGCAAATCCTCTGGCTGCTGCTAGTTTTGTCGTTGAGAAATTCATGTAAATCATTAAAAAGAAAAGATAACAAGACAGCAGAGTTTCTTACAGATTGTTCTCTGGATAGGTCTATTTTAACTGATGTTAGTATTCTGACGTTAAATAAGAGCTTAAAACAAACCTATGATGAATACAGAAATTTTGACTTTGACCCTGAATGGCAGGTATCTACCGGTTCCGGCACCCTCTCCCGCTTGGTGCACCTGCACATCGTCGTTCCGGAGGCTTTCATTCTCGGCGCAGAGGAATACCACGTGGACGCAGGCTCCACTATTAACCTCGTCTGCATAATTGAAAAGGTATTGGAAACCGAGAATGTAAACCCAAAGAGCCGTGGACTGGCTACTCGTGGGGAGTCCCCGAATAACGTGTGCATGTGTTGCGTTGCGCCCGCAGAGCCCCGCGCCGCCGCAGTACGTGTTCTGGTACCACAACGCGCGCATGATCAACTACGACGCGGCGCGCGGCGTGAGCGTGGCCACGGCGCCCGGCGCGCGCACCCAGAGCGCGCTGCGCATCCGCGGCGCTTCCACCGCCCACTCGGGCAACTACTCCTGCCGCGCCCCCAACACCGACCCCGCGCACATCTACGTCTACGTCTCCGAGGGCAGTGCGTATTCCTACGAACATCCCCTCAGTTTTTCCCTTACCCAGTCTCTGTTGGGCGGCAATCACAAGTATTATACCAATTACTTACCCTCGGGTATATATCCTTTGGTTCACCAAAAACCTTGTTTTGATTTATACTGTACGATTGGTTCATACAAAATTTTAATCAAATTCATTTCTTGTAAGAAACTAATATATCTTAATATTGTACGCATTCGCACTTACAAAAATAAAATGCAGGTTTTAATTGAATAATGTTTATACACGTACTTTGAAACAAAGGTTGCAGTGAATTTTGTTTCAGGCGACAAAATGGCGGCCACTCTGAGCCGCGACGCGAGTGCAGCACGGGCGCCCTCCGCCCTTCTCGTGCTCGGCACACTGCTTTTGAAAATACGACACCCCAAGTGAAACTCCCGTGAGCACTCAATAGTGATCTGATAGATCTTAAAGACCATCTTGTTTGAACTCTCCGTCACAAAAAAAAAACTATTTGGACCCAAGTGAGAAATTTTTACTTTGAGTCATGGTGTATAGCGAAACTTTAAATGTGTATTACGAATATGATTCTTAAGATATATGTATGATCATATATGTATAAGGTAAATTGCTCAATAAGTATGTAATATGCGAAGAAATGTTGTATAAATTGTTGTATTCTACATCACTTCATTACAGTCTACATTTTCCAAAATGCTCTGAAATAATATACCTATTTAAATTTACAACTTAATTAATGTACATTTTTTAACTTTTGCGTGGCTATGTGTGTGATACAAACACTTTTTTTTACCTAAAATTAGGAATGAGGTATGTGGAGCTAGCTGGATCATTAAGCAAGAATTATATTTGTCTGCTCTGCAATTGAATAAAGCACTAATGCCACTTTCGCTTATCATAGTTTTATTTACAGTGGATTAAGTTATTTGATTCTATTTCTGTTCTCTTGATAAGACAATACATAGTAAATTATAAAATGTAAGATTGAATTATCATATGACTTATAGTCAATCAAGGAACGGTAGTATGAATCTGAGATCTTCTCTGTGCAGTTCTATAAAACCTGCCAAAGCCTGGCCAAGTAGTGGATTTACTGAATTGTATAAGTTATGGTATTACTCGCATTACGTTCATTTCACTTATTATTAAGACAATAAAGGAAAAACATCCATCTTATTAAAATTCAAAATCATACTAAAACAAAAGATTTGATTTTCAGATCGTATTATTAACTTTAATAAATATGAATAAGAAATATAATGCAGATATCTTCAGTTCTTATGTCATGATTAAATTTATGAAACGTATTGTGAAACGCAAGAAATATTTTAAAATTTTTGCGCTCAACATGACAAAACATTTGACACAGAGATCTTCGTCCATTCAGTGTGTAAATAATATTCCTAGTTAACTTTAAAATCTTGTGCAAGAAGATTGTGAACAAATAAAGTTTTTATGTAAATGTAAATAAATCGAAACTTAAAAAATTATAACATATTAATGTTAACTATCCATCATCTGGAAATTCAATTTAGTTAATCTAAGAGAAATATTACTAAGGAAATAAAAATAAATACTTCTGTTTCCCTTCTTTTATTTTTATATGATAAAGCTGATCTTTCATTTTTAAAGCAAACAACAAATAATAAAATGTTTGAAGTAATTAGATTAATTCGTTCACGATATCAGTCGTAAAGGCAATTATCGACTCCATTTTTAATCATCAACACACGAAGATATATTGCCTTCACGCCTTTTATGCGTGGTGTGGTGTATTTCAAAACCTATCCTTGAATGATAGTGAATGTGTTTGGGCCACTCAGCACTCACTGTTGCATGAAGGACAGGTCCGTACGGGGAAGTATTACCACAATCTCACAGAAGACTGGCGTGATGTGGAAATAGTACACTATTGCGTTTCGTCTGACGATCGACGTAACCGGGGCCCAGTTTATTAAATGTCTAGGCACCAAATGTGCCCATTACCTTTCATCGCCCTTATATCGATGGCTCCTAATTAAAGGGGCGAAACCGCCGCAAACGCCTTTTTACAGCGCGATAAGTTTACTTTGCCCTATATACATAATATTATGAAAGTAATAAAATAAAATAAAGTAATAAAATAAAAAAAATATAATAAAATAATTGTTGGTCGGTTGGCCAACTCGCTCCTTTGAAGGTTTGCCTGAGCGACGCGATACCCGGCAGCGTCGGCGTGGGTTCTAGAAACTTCTGGGGCCACCTTAGCAATAGGCTACCGAAGATCTTGCCAGGGCATCCCATTTTCTTCTTACAGGACAGTCGGTGCTAAACGCATTGTGGTCTCTCCGTTCCGTCTTCGCCTTTGTGCAGTTTCTGCACGAAGGGGTTTCACCCGTGAGCCACTCTGCGCATTCAGCTTTGAGGTGTGGACCCCCGCAGTGGCTGCATACATCCGATGTCTCGGTACACAGCCTCTTCGTGTGCCCGTACCCCAGGCACCTCGAGCATTGAATTAGAGGGGATTGGTCCATGACCATTATTCGTTGGAGGTCAACGTGCACCACCCCACTGTCCACCAGAGTTTTCCACAGTGGCGGTGACACTCTTATCACAACATGTGACATCAAGGTGTTTCTGGCTCTTTTTCTAAATTTCACCTCCATTCTTATGTCCTTCTCTGCTATGTCCTTCAAGAGATGCCCATTTTGTAATTTAAGTGCTTTAAGGATGTCATCGTCTGTATTATAATTCAAGACATCCCTGAGGACCACGAGTGGGTCCTTGCTTTTGACATCATCCATATTTAATTCGATCCCTGATTTTCTTATTTTGTCTTTTACCCTCTCTAATTCCTCCTGCGAGCTACATCCTATGATGACTCTTCTGTCCCTGATTTTCCTCACTCTGTCCACCTTTATCCCGTCGTCCTTAGCATTTATTGCACTCCTTACCTTTTCCATTACCTGCTCCACCCCCAGTCGATTGCTTTTTCTTTTCCCTTTCAAATGAACCCAAACACTATTTGTTTGCTTGCATTGGTGCCCGAGAAATTTAATTTATAAGTTTTCAATATGGCGTCGTGCCCAGCTGTCAAAGTAAGGAAATGTACTAACTAAAGTTCTGTTTCGTTTAATATGGTCGAGTTTGGGCTTATTCGACGTGGTTTTTCACCGTCGTTATTTGGCTATCACTAGTTTTTAGAAATTTTGTGCCCACGATTTTTTATATCAGAAAAACCTAAAAAATGTACAAAAAATAATATAACTTTCGTTTGGTTGCACCGATTTTTATGTTCAATACATCAAAAGTCTTAACTTTTTATACTCTTTTTAACTACTGCTAAATATAAAATGTATTTCCTATAATAAAAAAAACACGTATTTGAAGGAACTTGTTTTTTTGGCAATAAATTTTACAATTTTCATCAAATTTTTCTAAATTTTTGCAATTATATACCTTGAGTGAAGCTCTTATAAACTAACTAGTCTAAACAATAGGCTATCGATCTATTTTTAGAATCATATAGATTTAAAACTTAATTTTGACGTAAATTTTCAGAAAAAACGCCGTATCTTGCCTGTTTTTCATCCTCCTTTTTTTTTTTTTTTTTTTTTTTTTTTTTTTTTTTTTTTTTTCGTTTTCCCCCTGACATGTAGGATCAGGGACGTTTTTTGTCATGCTCTTTTCATACTGTGGGTACGTTGTTCTTTTATGTTTTTAAAAGTGGTAACAAATTTTCAATTTTACTAATTTCTACAAAGTTCTACTATTTCTATTACTATTACTACTAGTTTTACTATTAATATTTACTGCTATTGAAAATAGCACTACACGAGTCTATTTACATACTTATATCTAGTTACAATATTCTCTTTACTTGTGCCTTACTCTCTTATATCTAATACTAATCCACTACCACAACTTACTACTATACTTTACTTTACTATGTTTATTCATCTTACAATAATACATTTCCTTACTTCTAGTAAATCTGTATCTATTATCTATAACTTTACGATATTTATTATCTACTGTTCTAGTTTTCTATATCTATTATACTATCTTCTATGTTTGTATTGTCTTATTTCTCATACCGGTGGACTTAGTATGGCATACTTGTGTGTATGTCGTACAAGCCTCTTTTGTTTCTTTTACTTATTTTTCTTATTTGCGATTTTGACTATTTTTTTACAGAATCCTAGAAATGTGTCTCTGATCTCTGTGTTTGTCATGATGTTATGAATATTTGTCGATGTTATTTTACTATTAATTGCTATTTCCAAGTCTATTCTGTCGCGTTCATAGACAGGGCACTCTGTCACTAAATGAATTGCGGTTTGCTCTGTCTCCGCATCGCACTCGCATGCAGGGCTGCCTCCGCACTTAAATCTATGCAGGTATCCTGCAAAGCCTCCGTGGCCTGTCAGCAGCTGCACTAGTAACGGATCCAGATCTATTTTTCTTATTAGGTGGTGCACGTCTTTTCCTATGCTGGGGAAGAAGATCTTGGTAGTTGAGGCGGTCTGCTCTTCCTGATATCTACGGTTCCACTCGTCAATGGACTCCTGACGAATACTCCCCTTGACGTATGAAACCGGGCATCTGTCGTAGTGTGGCCTCGTTTTGATCCTGAGTGCGGCCTCCTTTGCCAGGAAATCTGCTCTTTCGTTTCCCTCCAATCCCGCATGGGCCTTGATCCAGTAGAGGTCAAGGGAACCGCCCTGATTGTTCAGGTTTGCGATATTTTCCCTCGCCTCTACGGCCATGGGGTGCAGGGAGTCGCCGCGACTGATCGTTTCAAAGAGCAGATCTTGAGTCGCTATATATTGTGCAGCCTCGTGCAGGATCCCTAAGTGCCACTTTAGTGGCTTCTAACAGGGCCAGTAATTCCGCCTGGTAGACGGTGCAAAAATCCCCCAACTTGAGTTTTTTGGTACTGGTTTCCGCAGCGCCATCTCTTATGGATAGCGCTGCGCCAACTTTCCCCTCTATTTTACTTCCGTCTGTGAAAATACTTAGTCGCGTACTTTGCTGGGTTATTTGTGCACCGTCCCCCAGACATATGAATCCTGGCCCGGTTTGCTCCACTGGGTGTTGCATTTTGGCATATGGCACAGGCCTCTCCAGATCCCGGTCCCCGATAATACGCCTGGAATAACCTCTCTTTATTTCATAGAGAGAGGCTGCTTCCCTGATCCTAATGTCCAGAGGAAGCAACCCAGCGAGTACCAGGGCCGAGTTCAGTGAGACGGTCCTGTATGCCTTAACGATCTTCTGCACGAAGCCGCGTTGCACCAGGTTCAGTTGTTTTCGCGCCTGAACCTTATAGGTTTCTGGTGCCCAGGCACTCGCCGCATACAGGATCACCGGTTCCACCGCTGCTACGTATATCGTCCTTATGATCTCCGGATTCAAGCCCCAGGAAA